AATTATTTAAAAACTAGAAAAGCATGATTTAATAGCAGTCCGGTATGTAGTAATAACCATAAGTACCGACCACCGGCATGGTTGCTCTCATTTGCGAAAGGGTACTAGTAGTAGTTACTCCGTAAGGATAGTACGTTATATGGGGATGGACCGAGGATCCATTGTCTGTCCCTCTCATTCTTTACGGGGAGTAGTGGGAAATTTCCGGCCGGCTTCGGCGTAGGGGCTTTCATACGGTGGGCGGAAAAGGAAGTCACGACCAAAACAATTGAGTCAAGAGGGCCGGGGATAAAGACTTCTGCTTTGGGCCAGATAAAAAGTCCTGACTTGGTCAACTTCTTTTATCCTTCGAATTCCCTTTCTCTCCTGTACTCTTTTCCCCTACCTTCCCCCCAGATCCCTACGACTAATTACCGTTCCACTTGGGAACTAAACATATTTTCCGGAGCTCCGATCTCCCCCGTGGTATATCCATCTATCAGCAGCTTTCTCCGGCGTGACGGGAGCTACCGACTCCACCGCCCGCCCTCTCCTTCCAACCGAAAAGCTTCAAGCGATTCCCTCGGGTATACGTTATTCGCCTTTTGGTGTACCCCAGACCTGAATAGGTAAGCAGGGAAGTTTTCCTGGGAGTTGCGATTACCGATCATTAATCCGCTTGGGTATCCAAGGCATCAGGTCCGATCAAAATGATGAATTCCCTTCGGCTCCATTCCGCGTCGGTTCGCCGCGCTGTCGCCTCCCCTCTGTCTGCCCCTCTCTCTTCCTCCGCTTATCGCTCGATGTCCCGCTCTTCTTCTTCTTACATTTCCTCTTCGTCTTCTTCCTCTTTCTCGACTGCTGCTACTCCTCGCGCTCAGAGACCCCTCGCTTCGTCCCAGCTTCCTCGTATTATCTCCCCCCGCCAGACCGGAATCTCTCCTTTGCAGTGGACACAGGCCCGCACCATGGCAACTGAAGGCCCCAAGATCAAGGTTAAGAACCCAGTGGTGGAACTGGACGGAGATGAGGTAAGTTCGACAATCTAGACTTGGCCCAGCCGCAGGGCGCGCCCTTCTTCTTATATGCCTCAACCCCGTCCATTTCATTTTCGTCATGACCTGGCGCAAACGCGGGGAAACACGGCGAGACGTCTCCATGTTTCCTGGCCACGCAGCGCCAATCTTCCCGAGGATCACGAGCGCTCGGCCAACCAAAATCTGTCCGTGTCATGGCATTTCACATGTGGCTGACCACTTTTTTTGCTTTTCTTAGATGACCCGTATTATCTGGCAGGAGATCAGAGAGAAGGTTAGTAACCGCGGTCCCTGGTCTTGCATGATTCCCGCATGCGGGCCGTTCCTCCCCGAACCCTGAGACTGACGTGCTTCTTCCTCATAGTTGATCTTGCCGTAAGCCTATGATGACCTGTGCTCTTTACCGACGGCACAATATAGCTAACTTCCGAGCCCAGTTACCTTGATATTGATCTCAAGTACTACGACCTGGTATGATTGTGATCCCGGCGCAGTTTGCGTGGAGTTTTCGTGAAGCTGACACCTTTGCAGGGACTTGAATACCGTGACCAGACCGATGACCAGGTCACCGTTGAGGCCGCAGAGGCCATCAAGAAATATGGTGTTGGTGTCAAGTGTGCTACTATCACCCCCGATGAAGCTCGTGTTGAGGAGTTCAAGTTGAAGAAGAGTAGGTGCCGGATTGAACAATCGCATCGTACATGCTCGTTAACCTGGGCTTCCTTTAGTGTGGCTTTCTCCCAACGGAACCATCAGAAACATTCTGTACGTACTGCTAAACCTGCATGGCTTGCGCTACCCTGGTGCATGATCACTAACATCACTTGTAGCGGCGGAACTGTCTTCCGTGAACCCATCATCATTCCCCGCGTTCCCCGTCTCGTGCCCGGGTGGACCAAGCCTATCATCATTGGACGTCACGCATTCGGTGACCAGTACCGTGCCACTGACCGTGTGATTCCCGGCCCTGGCAAGCTTGAGCTGGTCTACACCCCTGTCAATGGCGAGCCTGAGACCGTCAAGGTCTACGACTTCCAGGGCGGTGGTGTTACTCAGACTCAGTACAACACTGACGAGTCCATCCAAGGCTTCGCTCACGCCAGTTTCCAGATGGCCTTGCTGAAGGGTCTGCCTCTGTACATGAGCACCAAGAACACCATCCTGAAGAAGTACGACGGTCGCTTCAAGGATATCTTCCAGGAGATCTACGAGACCACCTACCGGAAGGATTTCGAGGCCAAGAACATCTGGTATGAGCACCGTCTCATCGACGATATGGTCGCTCAGATGATCAAGAGCGAGGGTGGCTTCGTTATGGCTCTTAAGAGTAAGTGACTTGTCCTGGCCTGGACCGTTTGACCGAGAGCAACGTTCTAACTGAGGGTAACTAGACTACGATGGTGATGTTCAGTCGGACATCGTCGCCCAGGGTTTCGGCTCTCTGGGTCTGATGACCTCTACTCTGACCACCCCCAGCGGTGACGCCTTTGAGTCTGAAGCCGCTCACGGTACCGTGACCCGCCACTACCGTGAGCACCAGAAGGGCCGTGAGACCTCGACCAACCCTATTGCCTCCATCTTTGCCTGGACCCGTGGTCTTGTGCAGCGTGGTAAGCTCGACGAGACCCCCGACGTGGTTGCTTTCGCCGAGGAGTTGGAGCGTGCCTGTATCGAAGTCGTGAACGACGAGGGCATCATGACCAAGGACCTGGCTCTTGCCTGCGGCCGCAAGGACCGTGAGGCGTGGGTCACCACCCGCGAGTACATGGAGGCTGTTGAGCGGAGGCTGAAGAGCAACCTGAAGTCTAGACTGTAAGGGCTTTGCGGGTTTAATAATGTTTTTTAAGTTACTATAAATTCTAGCGTGCAGCCCGAAAGGCTGCAGTCATGACGGGGTAAAGATAGCATATAACAAACGACTTCAATGTACATTTTACTTTGCAATTATGTACCTTATTCTCTTTATGGATTCCCCGTAGGATATCACCGACTCGCTCCTTCTTTTGTGCATTCGTATAATAGCGTTCCCACATTATAGAGCGTAAATCAGTTGCCCCTGAGGGCCCAGCCCAATGGACTCCTTGGGTCTGACTCCTGAACGCCCTCTCGTCTGTGGCCGCTTGAATCATGCAGAGCGGGAACCATGGATGCAGCCACCGGATTGCCCAATGGGGTAATAGGGCTAAGAATTTCCCGGACTCTTGACGCAATTGATTTTTTGAATATGCATTGCTTTCGTCAATGGCTGAACAATTGGCCACAAATGCTTGGAAGAAGTTTCTGTGCCTGCTTGAAACCCCTCAAGCCATGTCAGGACAGAACGAATTTCGAAAAGATATTCTACCGAGGGTCAAACCATGCAGCCACACTGTGGTGACCACCATCAAGTCGCAGGATGTACGTGGTACCAGTTGCCGTGACCTTTCTCGTGATATCGATAGTGATTGTCGTTTTACGCTTATTCACTCGAGTCTATTTCGTCCGGACTGCGGGCTGGGATGATCTGGTAATTGCGTTTGCCCTGGTATGTGTCAAATGATACGACGGACATTCTATGGAATTAATGAAAACCACCCCAGCTCTCAGAGATCGGGTTATTCGTCTGTATCATGATAGGTAAGCATCAGCCAGTCACTTATGTTCTTTCCCAAACGCCACTAATATTGGAACATCAGAGGTCCGCCATGGCCTGGGACAAAGCATGCATTTACTCAGCCTGGAGACAGTTGAGAGTCAACTCAAGGTACATCCTACTATGCAGTACCCTGTACCCACTATAAATATCCACACCATACCTAACACATCTGAGCCAGGCCTTATGGGCCAGCGTCCCATTATACAATTTAAGTCTCAACCTAACCAAGGCCTCAATGGTGCTGTTATATCTGCGCCTATTCCCGCTAAGAACCTATCAAATCGTCCTTTACATCGTCTTGGTCTTCGTCATCATCAGTGGCCTCTGGATGGTTTTCGCCTCCTTCTTCATGTGCATCCCTATCCGTGGCGCGTGGGATATCTCCAGTCCCCATAACTGTATCCCCAAGAAAGTCCTCTGGAGTCTTAACGCTGCCCTCCAGATAGTCACCGACATGACTATCGTCATTCTGCCCATGCCGCTACTGGCCAAGCTCCAATTACCCAGGAAGCAGAAGATAGCGTTGATCTTGGTTTTTGCATTGGGGACATTGTTCGTCTACCCTTTTCAACTTCTAACTTCTACTGTCTCCCTTCTACCAGGGTTTCAAACTAACAATAACCTTTTTTTTTTTTTTTTATCCAGTGGCTGCGCAGTAAGCATAGTCCGCCTAACAGCTCTCGTTGAAATGATCCAAAGTACAGACCGAACAAGTACATATATCCCCACAATACAACTCCAATCCAACCCAAAACACCCACTAACTAACAAATACCAGAATACAACGCCGCAGCAGCAAACTGGTCCTTCATCGAATCCAGCGTCGCCATAATATGCGCCTGTTTACCCCCTCTCCGCCCGATAATGGTACACATCTGTCCGCGTCTCTTCCTCTCCCAAGACCGCAGCCGCTGCCAATCGGAGAGACCGGCATTGAAGGCCCTGGATACACCGAATCCGTTCCGGTTCGCGAATCATAGCTACTCGGCTAGTGTGACGGGGAATTGTTCTACGAATAATGATGGGAGGGAGCCGAGTATGCATCGACATCCGGATGTGGATGGGATTCAGGTTGTGAGTGAGGTTCATTGGGATTTGAATTCGGCGGACAACTGTGCCGAGGAGACACATTCTCAGCGGGGGTTGAGGCCTTCCGGGAGGAGTTTTTCTGTTGGTCGGGGTTGATCTGGGGGAGACTTTTATTGTTGGGTCTTTGGGAGAGAATAGAGATAGATATAGATACCCTTTTTCTGTGCTTGATTTTTGATGGTTTGGTTTTGATTTCTTGGATATACCATCCTTGTTTCTTCCGTATATGATGTTTCAACGACATCACCTTGTAGATTTTACAGCAGTGTCTATCCGGTTCCATACCTGCACATATTAGGTGCAAACCATGTCTAGTAGACGCCCGGTGGGCTACGGAGGCTATAGCAACTGTAAAGATCGCGACTTGTACTTCAACCAGAGGAACTAATCAACATTGGACTATTAGCAACCTTTAGGATTTACCTAATTAATGAAGTACAGTGATCAAAAAGCTGTGTGGAGAACAAAAGCTAGTAATGGCGGTAGCCAGTAATAGTAATAAGCAAATCAAAAAGAGTACACACATTCAATCTTATAGTTATGCAATCTGTGGAGTTCCAACGCCATCTGTGTATGTTTTCCACCGACAGATTGATGATTTCTTTTTAGGCCGAACCGCCTTCGAAAGTTCTTTCTGAGGCTGCTTGCGGCTGCGACGATTTTGTAGGTTGAGGTGAAGCAGCCCATGAGCGACGTGAGATATCATACATGTCCATATCCTCTTTTCTAGCAGATGGAGTGCCTATCCTCAATTTGCTATCTAGACTGGCTTCGGAAGGTGAAAATGGGAAAATGGGTGACTGGTCGACTTGGAATTGCTGGAGTGCCTGTTTCTGGCATGGGGGTGAGTCCGTCTTATGCTTAGGAGAGCGATTGGATTCTTGTGACTCGGACCTCGATGAGGCCCCTGGTATAGGAACTGGCTGCGTTTGCTGTCTAGCAAGACGTTCGGGCTCCTGTGGCGCAGACTTCGACGGGGCCCCCTGTATAGGAACTGGTTGCGTTTCCTGTCTAACAGGACGATCGGACTCTTGTGGCTTGGAACTTAATGGAGCCTTTGGTACAGGAATTTGTCCCGTTTCCTGGATCCCATCAGCTTGAAAAGGTGCGATAGATGCATTGCCTGCATTGTTGCCTACTGGTGCCGGCCTGATCTCGTCGTCGTCGTCGTCGTCCACTCCATGCCCCTGGTTATTTTGGATTTGACCCTGACCACTCGGACCAGCCACAGCATTCTGCACATTTGAAGCGCTTGGCAAGTTGGTAGGAGTTAGAGGAGTTGTAGAATCCGGAGGTGAACCATCACCGTTTTGTGCCTGATTTTCTGCGTTCCATGGCTGTCTTAGCGCCCTCCCTGCTCGAGTTTCGGCCTTCCTCGCTCGAATCCTTTGGCAGCAGTCTTTAATGTTGATGAGACACATTCCAACAAAAGGGCTCTGCAGGTTCGCATAAAAAGGAAGTTCTGTGAAGCATGCAGGGTATCCAGGCGTGTGAAAGAGTGGTTGTTTCAAGGACATTAGATAGCTCGATGCCAGAGGTGAAAGTGCCTCCTGTGATGATTGTGAAAGAAATGCACCGGCGTAGATCTTGTTCGGTTTCGTAAGTGGTAAGGAGGGGATCTGAGAGCTATTTCCAGTCTTTCCACTTTGCTCCGAGACGCTTCGATGAAGACTATCGACACTGGCGTTGCAGTGGTGGCAGACGACGTCGTATTCGCCGACGCGTGGGAGAGAGCTGGAACTAGCAGGAGCCATGGCAGTAAACAATGACATATCATTCCAGTCCCAGTTTCCGACCTGAATCCACGTCGGTAGCTCGTCGACTGGGATCAAGGGTACCAGTGAACCTTGAGGTCTAATGATATAGAACCTGGGAAATGGCTGTAGCATGGAGTAGTAAGTAATATGGCTGAGAGTAAGGGAAGAATAACGAATGGCTGTAGTCACGGTAGCGATTGTTAGAAAAGCAAATGACAGATCGAGATAAGAGAGATGGTTGGATTGTGAGAATCTGAGATTCGAGAGGATATTAAGTACTGGCTACATGCATGTCATGGAGGGAAGTCGCGGGTTGCGTCCAACCGTCCGGGAAAGTACAACTTCTGAGAGTCACGGTCACATTGCGTATTGACGAATGATTGACAGATGTGGAAAGCACGTGGATCTATATACATGAGATCTCTCAATGGCTATGGATATCGAGAGGTTATGATGAAGTAAATGTCCCATTGTTGCAGCTGAACCCTAGGTTTGGATTCAGCTCTACCGTAGCCTTCATGCAGATGACGCTGGCTGGCTCCAGATCTTGTGGATAAAGCTGGATGTTCTTTGTAACAAAGTTCTTACAGGATTTGTCCGTGTTGCACTCTATTACGACTGCCTCCGTGTGCTTCAGGTTTGGAAGTCCAGCGTTATACCAGCAAGGATCGGTTGCGCATGATCCATCGCCGGGTTGATATGAGTTGATTGAGCCGGAAAAGTCTTCCCAGGTAAAGTCCTCCATCATCACTGAGGACTCGGTGTCAACACCATCGCGCGAGACGCTTTGGTCGTAGTAACTCTGGGTTACAAAAATTGGGAACGTTACGTTGTATACACGGATGTTTTTCCAAGTCACATTCTTGACAAGCCCCTGGCCACCCGTCCAGGACTTGAAGCGAGCAGCGTACAGGGCATCAATCACGGTCACGTCCTCGAATCTGAGGTTGGTAATGTTGACAATTGCCGAGGGATCCTTTCCTAGTGATCCGATGCTCATACCATGGGATTGGTAGCCAATCGTATTTCTCTCGAATGCAATGTTATGTGAATCGGATCCGACGGCGATCGCATCGTCGCCATTATACATAATGCTGTCAGAAATGCGGATATTGGTACCCTGAACGTCAAAAGCATCGGTGTTGAATGGGAAGCTGCCAGTGGAGGAAGCGTCCACAATGGCATGGCTGACGGTAATATCTTCTCCATGAAGCTTCATGTTCCAAGCAATCGGCTTGCCAGACCTGAAGTATTTAATTGACGCCTGGCTGGTTTTGTAGCTCATGAGATGAGGCCGGCCGGAGATTCCAGTGCCACTGGGAGGGTTTGCGTCCCACCAGGCCTGGCCGTATGATTTAATCCAACCATTGTTTACATCTTCGGGCCCAGTCCAATCCACACGGGGGCCTTCCAAAGTAAACCAAGTAGAGGTGCCTGCATTAACAATATCCCGCACCGCCGAGATGTTTTGCGGAAGATGCAGGTTTCCATGCATCTGTATCTCCACATTGCTCAGATTTGTGGCTTTAATCGGTTGGAAAATATTATAATCCACGCCTTCCTGGAAGACAATGACTGAGTTGGTCGCGCATTGCGCGAAAGCTCTGGACACTTCGGGGGAGTCATCTGCAGTGCCATTGGAAGAGCGTACCACACACCGACGGCCTCGGGAATCGGGCGAAGAGCTATTTCCTTCTGCACCGTGTGCTAGGGGTACGGAATAAAATAGAAAAGCCAGAAAGGCTGTCTTGGAGATTAGCATAGTGTATGCCGTTTGGAGAGACAATAATCACTGACAAAGATATTAGGGGATAACTATACGGCCATCCTGCCGGGTCGTTGGTCTTTATATGCTCACTCAGATGGAGGTACACCGCTGTCCGAAGCATTAAATTGTCTTTGCTTGAAACGATATGACCTCAACCAGTAGTTACATGACCCACTGCCCGGAGAAATTGATGTTGAATTGTTAAGAAGCCATGTCTTAGCCCCACAGCTCGGCCTGGAATTGGTGGAGAAATTATGCCGTAGACTAAATGCCTCTTAATCTTGGCTGCGGATCTGCGGTATAGTTAGTAGTCAGTACCTGCCTTGATCCCCAAAGGTCTTTTAAACCCTAATGTCGGTCCAATGCTTGTATATTGCTACGTAACTGTGTTGTTGTTGTTGTTTTGTTGGTGTTTGGGCCATCCCAGGGAGCGTCAAATCGTATTTAGGACAAGGTGCCTGTTAGACATCTCCTTAGCAGCAGTCATGCTAAGCGTACGATACGATATGAAGCGCCGAAGAGTTAGTACTTGAGTTCGAGCGATCCATAGTGATTCTCAAAATGTTTGTTTGGCCATATTCACCTCCAATAGCAACACTTTAATCGCAATAGTCAGATGGGTAGTACTTCTAATTTCATACGACACGACCAGTCGAATAAACAGAAACTGAGCTCAGCCAAGAGTAAACTGAAGCTTTAAGCGTCCCCTGGCTCTGGCTGAATAAATTTGTTCCTCATCACCGGAGTCAGGACCTCAGGTCTACAGAATTTTACTATGAACTATTCTAGCATGACAGACGTGTATTAAATGATACAATATATGGTTCCCAATCCAAGGCACTACCCTGACTACCAAGGAGGGTAATCTTGACAGTGCTATCATCTGGCTACTAGCTCCTTTTAAGATTTTTCCAAGTAAAGTGTATAAGCTAACCCCTGTACTCTTATTAGCGTTGTTTATTACGCACGGGGCGGCGATCCCCTCGCAGATGTACACTTTGAATGAACTCCACGGCATCCATAGGCGCATTCAAGCGACTCATGAGCTTATCGAAACTGGAAATGTGCCCCCAACGGAGTAATGGGAAGAGCTTGTGGAGCAGATTCTAAATGTAAGCAGCCATCTTTGATTTTACTACTGATCAATGACCTACGGTGTTTCGTTGTGTCAAGAGCTAGCACTCTTTTAGAATTAATCAGAACACCGCGAGTACAAGAGAAACATGGCGCCGATGAAGACTAGGGTTACTATGCATGCAATCGGTGGCCAGAAGAGGGGATATGTGAGTAGTTCTCTTTGTACGTCAAACTACACCCTATCATTACGTTCTTCCTAGAAATAAGTAAAAGAATTGTTCATTTGGGCTAGTAACCCACATAACATTCAGGCTACAATGAACACATCAGGTAACTGTGCGTTTCGAATATACGAAGCTGCCGATGCGGATGCGATACACCGTTGGGAAGAGCTGTCCAACAAGGGACAAGGAACAAGGAACAAACAGTTGAATTGCTTCGTAGGACATTGTTTTAACGTCATAGCAGTATAGCAATAAGACGGTGAATCCATGCCCGACAGTGAAAGACAACACCTAAGGTTAACATAATTGTAGCTACAAGAAGGATATAACGACGCTCACCCTCAATCGTATCTAGTTCACCTCTAGAACTTTGCTATGTATTCGAGGCTTCGAGTTACGTACTACATCGACTCATGTGTACTACAAATTGCAACTGTGGTTATAGTTTCAACAAATGGTTCGCATTTGGCCCAACAAGGACCGCGAATCATTACACGATCTCAGAACCTGAAGCATGGTCTGCAATTATTGGGGCCAATCCAGCATGTGCTGACAGATATAATGACAATGTACGTGGTCCCAGTAAATGTACCAAGCCAATCCCAAGCGACAAAACTACAATCTATTCAGCAATCGAGCCATCTCACTAGTTGAGGGGCATCGGTGTATTATGGAAAACAAATCCACGAACTTGTTGACTAATAGAAGCCCATACATCCGTTTGAGTTGGTAATATAAGAGCGAGAAACAATCTCTGGACAGCATGTTTTACCAGTATATGATGCACTATGAAGAAAGGAAGAACAAAGGGGAATTAGGGCTAGCACCGGGCCCGATATCGGTGAGAGAGTCACGCTCTGGCTTGCAGATGTCACCTCGTCCTTCCCTGCTGTTTTCATTGTTGTATGGAGTAAAACTGCGGTTAGCAGCGGCCGGCGAGCACGGAACCTCCCGCTCACTCTTCTGTAGATCGATCAATGCTTACACCCTCCGATGTCGGTCCAGATCTATTCTGATGTCACCCTACTAATGTACTTATAAATGCTCTAGTAACCGGGGATAACTGTTAAATAAGTATCATTCATCCAGCTTTAGTTTCGTGGAAAGTAGCGCATAATGACCACACAGGAGCAGAAAGCCGACATCTGGTCAGCCGATGTTTACGGCAACAAAGTGGCTCCATTCGTTGCTACCTTAACAGAGAAGATTGTTTCTTGGCTCGATCCCAAGTCTACTGGTAAGCTCCTTTGCGGGATGAAAATGCCATGTTTGATTTTAAATTGCTGATGTACAACAGATGAAGTACTCGATATCGGCTGTGGGGATGGCGTCCTAACTGCCAAATTAGCCCCTCATGTTAAACGGATCGTTGGAGTCGACGCCTCGACGAATATGTTAGAGCACTTCCAGAAAACATATCCTGATATTGAATCCCGCGTTGTAGACTGCCGACATTTGGATCAAGTGTCCGATCTCACTGACGGGAAATTTGACAAAGTCTTCTCGAACGCCGCCTTACATTGGATCTTGCGCGACCCCGAAACCCGGTCGAACACGATCAAGGGCTGCTTCAATGCGCTCAAGCCAGGTGGGCTTTTTGTGAGTGAATCGGGCGCGCTCGGTAACGTAGCCGAGGTGCATGCGGCAATCGTCAGTGCTCTGGTCATTCAAGGGATTCCTGTTGAAGAAGCCCGAGCAGCTTCGCCTTGGTGGTTCCCTTCCCAAGAAGCTATGAAACAGCTTCTTGAAGGGGGAGGCTTTCAGTGGGTCAAGGGTGAGGCAGAACTCAGACAAACGAAACTGACAGATCATAGAGAAGGCGGGATTGAAGGATGGTATATATATCCCGAGTGTCTTTGATTTTGACTAAATTGGTCACTAACCAAGTTAAAGGATCCGCCTTTTCTGTGAGCCTTTCCTTCAGGTCTTACCGACTCTGGAGGCACGCAATGCAGCCGTCAAACATGCTGTTGATGTCCTCGAGGCCGTCGGAAGGCATCAACACGATGGCTCCTTCACAGTCAACTACATTCGACTTCGGTTTGTAGCGCAGAAACCGTTTTAGAAAAGAAGGTTCAATCAAAAAATAACCTTATTCCTTGGCTCTGGTCTGAGCTCTTTAGTAACCTTGAAGTGGTCTCCAGAGTGATCGTCAATGACCTATTGCGAGGTCACGCCAAAACGCGAATAAGCATATAGATGATCAATGTCGTAACGTAAATTTTGAACAGTTCAGCATGTTCTAAATGGTAGAAGATTATTCACCGATTGTATATTTCAATTCCAGACTGTAGCGTTGCAAACAAACTACCATAAACACAGCACTAGACCCACCCGGCAACTAGCGTGAATTTCAGATGAGGTCACTGGAACTCGGCTAGACTTCCGGGCAAGTCAAAGCTTATAATAACCAGCCAATTCCCTTCAATTATTACCCCAAACAAACATAGCTCCTATAACAACTTCTACTATACACAACGAATTCATCCATTAACAATGGCATCCACCCCACCATCATCTGCCACGACACTGGCATCCAAACCAACACCAAGCATCTCAGCCTCAGATGCAGTGTTGCATATCGAGAGCGCCACGTCGATCGCAGCCCCCTGCCAAGACGTCTGGGATGTCCTAATTGATACTTCCACCTGGCCCTCGTGGAACACATTCGTCCCGCGAGTCACTATTCGCGAACAGCCGGGGTCCGACTCTGAATCTACTCCAGATGATCTTTCCCCGAAACTACAGATGGGGACGAAAATGACTTTCCATGTCCATATGGATCCATCGTCTACCAGTGAGCAAGATGTGGGCCTCGTCGTGACTGAATTTAAGCCACCGAGTGCCAATCCTCCCAAGCCTGGACGGATTGTTTGGGTTGCGGATCTGACGGCTAAGGGGAGCATGCCGGCATTCCTTTTGACGGCGGAGAGGGTTCATGAGGTTGAGGAGTTTGATGTCCAGGGGGAAGATGGGCAGACGAAGCGTGTCACGGAGGTGCGGAATTGGGAGGCGCAGGTTGGGTATCTTGTGTATGTGGTTCGGTGGATGTTTGGGGCACAGTTGAAGAAGAACTTTGAGGCGTGGGTACAGGATTTGAAACAGTATGTTGAAGGAAAGAAAACGGACAGTTAGGTGGTGATTGTTTCTTGATACCCAGTTATCTGTATTAACTATATTTCTACGTGTTCCATGGATTCGAAAATTATATGGAGTGAATGGAAACTTCATAGGTCGGTGCTAAAATAGTCTCTTGGTTTCGGGATATTATCATGGTAGTATCAAAGACATGTTCCAATATAAGATGTATTGAACTTCAACTTACAGACATGGATGAGTATGGTTTAACAGAATATACCACCACAGACCAGCCAATCCACTACTATTCATATGAGTGGACGGTCAACTAACATCATGACCTTACGGCCGAAAGCTTCAATGTCTACCACGATAGAACCGGGGGGGCTTTAATTCATAAACTTAAGGACACCGAAAAAGGTGAACATGATTACATGGTGACATTAGAGATCAGGAACCAAACACGCCTGAGCCAGCTACAATAAGTATAAGGGGGCATCTCCACTGAGGAAGCCTTAGGATCGAGAGAGAAGCCTTCAACACTCGATTTGGTAAGTGGCCGAGGATATACTGTATCATTTCCTAGTTATAAGGCTAGCAAACCATCATGGGCAAGAAGGTCTCCCATTAATTGATATAGACAGCATGAGGTGTGAAGAACTATGACAGTAAGGGGGTCATCAACTGCCTTGCTACGCTCTGCATATACATATAGTCTTTCGAGCCAGATGCAAACTGTACCAGGAACAAATGATAATTCGGGCCAGGCAGGTACGGAAGCGGTCTTACGGCATGGAGGGACATGTTTTGTGCTTTGGATTATTGACTGAGTATACTCTATCCTTACTGTTGTGGAATTTCATGTCTGAGACAGTGCCTTGAGGACATGCACAAAAGGTTGGAAGAGTTCTATTATATTCTCCATGGCTTGCCTATACTTGAATCTAGTTTCTAGATCGAACCACTGCTAAGACCTTCGGTGGTAGTAGATGAGGTGGGAAGTTTAGCGTGTATTTGAGAATATTCTACTAGTTGCTAGAAGGGGCTATAGTGATACATTCGATTATTGTCAGCTAAATCTATGTTTACACCATTCCAATCGCTCCGATTTGAAATCGATTCGCATCGACTTGAGTTTTACTATGTTATGGTGATAGTTAGCCTATACCTTATCTGCATAGCTAGTATTGAATGTTTGGATTGCTATACAACACTTTCGTAGACTTGTCGGGCGCCATCCGAAAGAGGCCTAGGAGAAAACAATTGTGGGGTTGACATCAAAAAAATGTATAGATCAAATATAAAAAATAAAAATTCACATGGGACATCAATAGATACGTTAGGGAATGGAATGATTGTATCGGCGAAAGATATAATACTGCCTAATAAGATACATTCCATGATTTGCTTATTAGTAAAATCTCACTAGAGCGAAAGCACCAGACCATTAAGGGAAAGAAGGTCCCCAAAGCATGACGCATGAGGCTATTGAATGACTGGAGATGGTGTCGGTTACGTCATGTTATCGACTCCGGGGATGCCTGAGAAGGCCAAGGGTCCAGCTCACTGCAGAACATTGATACGTACCCCAACGTATACATACTAACTAGTTGTAGTACTTGGTACGAAGTAGAGCAATGGCCTCTGCTGGATTTGGCCAATCCTTTGCTCCCTTACATTGCCCTCAAATAGATCCCTGCAGTTCCGGTAACTTTGTACTCGGGATACTTGCTACTATAAGTATGTACAATGGATAAATTGGAAAGGAAAATCCCAAGATGGACCAGTGGGGCGTACTATTGAGAGTGCAATTTCCCTGGCAGATGAAGACCCACGTGGGGGTGGAGATTGGCTCAGAACACCTGCACCGGTGTTACGGTTTCATACAATTTCTACCACCACAGCGTTCCCATCAATCCACGGGACAATTGGGTATTCTTCCGGAGTCAGGACTTCTTCCGTTTCGGTAGTTTGCTGTTCAAGAACAGGATCAAACCGGAAATGAAGGAACATTTGCATGGATAATCTGCAGGCAACAAGGTAGGGAATACATTGGTGCTGACATTATTCGCGCGCACCACATGAGGCCAGGGAAATCCCGGCATGCATGGACCAGGGTATGTACCAGTTTTTAAGATAAGAT